GTGTCTTTATCAGCCACAACTTGTCAACATTCTCGTATTATCTTTTGTTTCATTAAGGCAGGTGAAATTACAAGTTTGAATAATGTACTGTACACTGAATTTATAATTCTCGCATCAGTTGAAACAAATTACTGTATTAGGAACACCTTAAATTTCTCCAAACTGCAGGCAACTCTGGAGTGCAGGCGAGAAATGCATCATAATTTACACTTGAAAAATACTGGAAGGACCGGTTTACCATCATCCTGACAAATAATTTCTTATTACTGCTCGAGTGGGAGCCATTGAAAAGCAGGCTGCAATAAGTATATGAAGAAATAACTCAATAAGTATACAGGTTAAAGGCTTTTCAGCAGTTTCCTTTAAATTTAAAGGAAATAACTAACAGACACCTAACTGTCCTCAAGTTTCTGCAGGCAGTTCTTGTTAAGCTGAGTTGTGGTGTTTCGTGGGCGTGGTTGTAGCTAGCACCTGTGACCAGGCCGCAGGGGTGATGATCCCTGGATCCATCACCACATAGATAACAGGTAGGTCGTTTTCGGGTGGGAAAGGTTCTGCTCTGGTGTCATTAATCACCGCCTTCATTACTCATCACAACAGACGTAGGAACATGGGGAAGATATGTAGTGTTTCCCCGTCACACCCCTCTACCTGGCCCCCACACACCCTTCTACCTAGCTCCCCCACACCCCTCTCACTGGCACCCCACACATCCCTCTCTGGTCTGCCTTCATCCTTTTTGGCACCCTGCACCTCTAGTTTCTTATTGAAGATAGGGGTTTATTGGTAATATCCTTTATATTGGAAGGAGAGGTGTTGAACACCCCTGGATTACGCTTGTTGAGTTATATCTGTTGCTAAATTTACTGCTCCTCTGCCTTTCATTGGTGGCCAATGCTCCTCAAGTTGTCATTAGGAGTAATTTAAGTGTGCAGATCTGGGACTAGTCTATCAGACCATACAGTTTTTTCCAAGTGTAAAGTTATACTTATGCTTTCACCTGCATTCAAGGGAATATAATCTAGATAAATACAGACATTCTTATAATTAAGGTTTTTAAATTTATATGGGCAGGAAAGAGCCTCTGTATATTTTCAAGATGTGACTCCTCTTACCTTAAAAGGACTTGCTAGTGTACAGTAATACTATTCCAGTCATCACTGGCTTTTTTGCACTGACAATAACACTTGTGATCTTGGAACGTACGATCTTGCAACAACTCTGAGAATAAAAAAAATCGGGAACTTATGAAAGGTATAAGGTAATCCTAAATCGAATACATTCCACTTCTTATCTTATTGAGTGGTTTGAGTGTGTTTTATATTCCGTTCCAGTTCATATTTCTATAGTTTTCTGTATTTGACCTCGTTGAATATCATACTGTTTCCTGTGGCCCACTGAAAGACTTGATATACGTCACCTTGTATATTTGTTTGTTCACAAGGGCTGCCACACATACAACGTCTAGTATGAAGGATGATACTGTTTAAGATTTGTGTTTGTATATGCCGGAAATTATAATTAAGAGAATTGTGGCTAGCATTGTGCCTTGTGGCGGAGAGCTGTTCACTGGGTCCGGTTATTCATTTTGCACGCTAGCCGAAGCCTTTCGCAGTCTGAGTATACTACATCGGCATTTTGTTACTCAATGCATTTCAAACTCTATCGTAATGGTCTAGCAAATGCGAGAGGCAGGAGTGACCTGCTCCAGAACCGTCTTCTTCCTGTTCTAGGTTTTGTAATTGTGGTGTTTTTTATGTTTATCAATATTAGGCGAATACAACAGGATTGAGTACATCTACACAAGTACACTCCTGTCACTAACATGTGGCTGGATGATACATACGAGGAGGATGAAGACAGCGTGGCAGTAATAGGGCTCTGACTCCACTTGCTTGCTGGTTTTCCTAACTCGGCCGAGACATTACCCTCTAGCTGCGGCCGAACATTATCTACACTCCTCATTTGCAAACGTCACGACCTGTGACGACCACCACCAATAACTACGACCAGAAATAATACTGACGGCGCCCACTGGTAATATTGACAGCCACCAAACTAATAATACTGACAGCAGCCGCAGTATCACTAATCTAAACCACGACGAATACCGACAGTGACATCCTGTTATACCGCCACAATTAGAGAACAGTATCAGCATCCGTGGTTGAAGACTCTTCAACCTTCTTTCATAAGATATAATAAATATTGCTCTTACAAAGATAAAAAGGGAACTTGTTGAGATTTTCCACGAGGTGCTTGTTCACCCAGGATGTGATATGTGGCTCTGCTGGCTGTTTGTAGCAGTCGTCTGGCTGATCAGACGGTAAATAGGATAACGATTGGAGTTTATAAATTATTGTTCACATTGAGTGATTCTTCTTATCATTTGCACCAGGCGAGCCTGGCTCTGGGAGTAGAAAAACTCGGAACTCATGAAAGGTTGTGCAACAGCCTTTGGTAACTGTACTGTCACGGTTTCACCACAATTAGTCACAATAATTCCACAGTCACGTATTTCTCAGAGATAAGTGAAGAATTTCTTCGTGAGAGCTTGTCATCATTTTCCTGGCATCATTGTAGTAAGGTAATGTATAGTTACCTAGCCTCTGATGGAGCATTATAGCTGTGAGAGTAAAACTCTGGTGTTCGACAAATGATCTTACACTCTTCTATTCTGTGTGAGTTAATTTTTTACTCTAAGAGTAAATTGCTTTGTGTTTTGTACTGTTCTTATTTTTGTTTTTATTTTCAACGGAGCAAGGAGCTTTAATTAATGGTCGTTAAACATAATGCGTTGTGTGGCTCTCTGAGAGGGGAAAAGTTTGCCGGTAAGAGCAGCCTGTGTTTCGTGATTAGTCAACAGAAGACAGGAACCTCCGAGACTCCTTTCACTGAATGACCCACACGGGTTTAGCGCTTAACATCTGATGCCTAATAATAATAATTAATGTGATCCACTCGAAAACATTTTAATAGCATATATAGTAAATAATATAAAGACATCAGTAAATTATTATTATTAGTAATAGTATTGTCGTTATTAAGTAAGGGTTGCAAAGACTAATGGATGGGTTGCGAGCTGGGGCAAGTGGGTGGGGTGGGCGGTGTACTGGAGATTTAGAGGGGGGGGGGCTCTCACTCTTATCTCTGCTTATTCATTAGTGGCTCGTGAATGACTAATTGATGAAGCGTGAATTGGCAAGTTACAGCATATGAGGGGCTCTCTCTCTCTCTCTCTCTCTCTCTCTCAGAAAAGACACTATACCGTGTAATTCAGTGTTAAAGATATTAAAGAAACTTGATATGCTCAGCCAATTAGATCTATAAAATGCGATTGCATTTAGCAACCTACAGTAGAATAACTGTGTACAACCTAAAGGTAGATATAATACACTAATACTCCTTCACAGAACACTGCAACTGTTGCTCTTCAATGTTGTATGACGAGAGACACAGACAGACAGACAAACAGAGACAGTCTCTCAAGATCAGAATTTATCAAGAAACGAAATTGGAGGTTTCTTGATTCTGGTGATGGCCACTTGATCTAAGGAATAGGACGTGTGCTCCTGTTCCTTGAATCTAGCCTGGATGCTTTCCACTCCCAAGCTTTATATGACCCCTACCGGTTTAGCGCTCCCCCATGAATGTAATAATGATTCATCAGGAAACGTAGCTTGCCTTTAGATGTTATTGATGGAGTAAATAATGGTTCTTATTCCTGGAGGATCCGTGAAGGTGTCTGTCTCGTTATTCACAACCATTGTAGAGCCGCGAGAATAAATCTAGTGAAAAGCAGAGATGCTGTGGGCACAACAAGGAAACACTGTATCAACATCCGTGGCCCTAGACTATTCAACATCTTGTCATGCAAGACAGGTATACAATACCGACAAGATGAAAGCTAAGACATTTGTGCAACATCTGGTTATCTTTATTGTAGACGTTTCGCCATCCAGTGGCTTTATCAATACAGATTCTTGGACATAATAAGAAAACAGAAGAACTATATACAAAAGATGAGGTAATCAGTCCCTCAGCCTTGAAGGTGGTGTTTGGAGCACCGTGGTTGTAGAGATTCTGAAGCACAGGTAGGGAGACTGGCGCTTATATAGACGTCAGTGAATAGGGACGTGTAGCAGACGAGGGCATAGTCACTGGTAGGCGGGATTCCCCAGTGGAAGTAGGTCCTACCTGAGAATCTCTATTGATAAAGCCACTGGATGGCGAAACGTCTACAATAAAGATAACCAGATGGATGTTGCACGAGTGTCTTAACTTTCAACATCTTGTCAGAAGATATCAGAAGCACTGCTGGAACAAGTATAGAAGTCTTCAAGAAGAACCTGGACAAGTATCTTCTGGTGCCAGATCAACCAGACTGTGATGGATATGTGGGTCAGCGGACCACTAGCATCAACAGCCTGGTTGACTAGACAAACACCAGACGAGCCTGGCCCATGGCCAGGCTTCGGGAGTAGAAAATTTCTCGGAACTCATCAAAGATGAGTCAACGAACGTAGTCTACGTTCGTTGGCTACGAATGTGATGTAGATTTCCATGCTAACATCTCTTAAATTATGCCTTTCCTGATTTGTAGAGGGAAGCTTGTTGATAACACTATTAACAGCCTGGTTGATCAGGCCTTGATCAGGTGTCTTGCACCGTCCACACTTTATCATAACTAAACCTTTGATGTGACCTCTTTAATATCCATATATGTCTCTTTAAATATACATGTAAGGCTATTTTAAACTTTTTAAAATAACCATCCATCTTATTAGACGTATCTTAAGGTTCATACTACACGTCCCTAAGTAGAAATCTGTGTGTGTGTGTGTGTGTGTGTGTGTGTGTGTGTGTGTGTGTGTGTGTGTGTGTGTGTGTGTGTGTGTGTGTGTGTGTGTGTGTGTGTGTGATTTGTGAGCGAGAGAGGTTGGTGCTTCTTATATATATACTAGTGTGTATTCTAAACGATGATCATTTCTTCTCACCAGGTGAAGAGGCAACGACTGGACCCCGACCGAGAGACTGCTCAACACAGGTGAGAACCATCCTGCTATAACACCAACCCATCCCTGTCTCCCATCCACACTTACCCATCCCTGTGTCCCATCCACACTTACCCATCCCTGTCTTCCAACCACACCAACACAACCATCCACATTGTACATGAACGGTATACAATACCGACAAGTTGAAAAATTAGACACGTGTGCAACATCTGGGTATCTTTATTGTAGAAGTTTCGCCAACCAGTGGCTTTATCAATACAAATTCTAGGACATGAGTAGAAGACAGTAGAACTATATACAAAAGATGAGGTAATCAGTCCCTCGGCCTTGAAGTTGGTGTTGAGAGCACCGTGGTCGTGAAGATTCTGGACCACAGGTTCATTAGGGATTTGCGGTACTTCCGGCCCGGGTCTTCTCCAGATGGTGACCCGGCGGGACCACAGGTAAGAAGGCTGCTGCTTTTATGCTGGTGGAAGATGGAGGCAGTCATTGGTGGGCGGGAATCCCCAGTGGAAGTAGGTCATACACGCAGTAGTAGTAGTCGAGGTAGCAGTAGCAGCTGTGAAGAGGTAATGTGGATGTCCTTTGAACCAAGATTCCATGATGTTGCAGTGTCTGACAAGTTGTACATGAACGGTATACAATACCTCAATGCCTCAAAACTCCATAAATGTATGCCAGATTTCCGACATTACCCTAACTCCGATAGATTTCGAAAAAAACATTGACAACATGCCTATGCACTCAGCCCCGGGCCCAGACTCGTGGAACTCTGTTTTCATTAAGAACTGCAAGAAACCCCTCTCGCGTGCCCTAAGTACACTATGGAGGAGGAGCTTGGACATGGGTGAAATTCCACAGTCACTTAAAACAACGGATATAGCCCCACTCCATAAAGGTGGCAGCAAAGCATTAGCTAAGAACTATAGACCAATAGCTCTGACGTCCCACATCATAAAAATCTTTGAAAGAGTACTAAGAAGCAGGATTGCAAATCACCTGGATTCCCAAAATCTGCACAATCCAGGGCAACATGGGTTCAGGGCAGGTCGCTCCTGCCTCCACAACTACTGGATCACTATGACATGGCCTTGGATGCACTGGAGAAATCAGAATGCAGATGTAATATACACAGACTTTGCAAAAGCATTTGACAAATGCGATCATGGGTAATAGCCCATAAAATACGTGCTAAAGGAATAACTGGGAAAGTGGGGAGATGGATCTTCAACTTCCTAACAAATCGAACACAAGAGTAGTTGTTCAACAGAGTTAAATCGGAGGCTGCCATAGTGAAGAGCTCTGTTCCACAAGGCACAGTACTCGCCCCCATCTTATTCCTTATCCTCATATCAGACATAAACAGAGATATACACCACCAGCACCGTATCATCCTTTGCGGATGATACTAGGATCTGCATGAGGCTGTCATCTGCTGAGGACGCGGATAACCTCCAAGAAGAATATAAACAAAGTTTTCCAGTGGGCAACGGTAAAACAATATGATGTTCAATGAGGACAAATTCCAACTACTCCGTTATGGAAAACTGGAGGAGATAATAACTAGAACAGAGTATACTACTGACTCCGTCCATACAATAGAGCGGAAAAATAATGTAAGGGACCATGGGAGTAGTAATGTCTGAGGATCTCACTTTCAAGGATCACAACAGTGCCACGATCGCACGTGCAAAGAAAATGATAAGATGGATAATGAGAACTTTCAAAACGAGAGATGCCAAGCCATGATGATCCTTTTCAAATCACTTGTTCTCTCTAAGGCTGGAATACTGCAGTACATTAACATCTCCATTCAAAGCCAGGTGAAATCGCAGATCTGAGAGTGTACAGAGATCCTTTACTGCACGTATAAGTTCTGTCAATCACCTTAACTACTGGAACGCTTGGAAGCACTTGACTTGTACTCGTTGAACGCAGGAGGGATAGATATATCATAATCTACAACTTGGAAAATCTTGGAAGGAATGGTCCCAAATCTGCACACAGAAATCACTCCCTACGAAAGTAAAAGACTGGGCAGGCGATGCAAAATGCCCCCAATAAAAAGTAGGGGCGCCATTGGTACACTAAGAGAAAACACCATAAGTGTTCGGGGCCCAAAACTGTTCAACAGCCTCCCATCAAGCATTAGGGGAATTGCCAATAAACCCCTGGTTGCCTTCAAGAGAGAGCTGGACAGATACCTAAAGTCAGTGCCGGATCAGCCGGGCTGTGGCTCGTACGTTGGACTGCGTGCGGCCAGCAGTAACAGCCTAGTTGATCAGGCCCTGATCCATCGGGAGGCCTGGTCATGGACCGGGCCGCGGGGGCGTTGATCCCCGGAATAACCTCCAGGTAACCTCCAGGTAATACCGACAAGTATAAAAGCAGCAGCCTTCTTACCTGTGGTCCAGAATCTTCACGACCACGGTGCTCTCAACACCAACTTCAAGGCCGAGGGACTAATTATCTCATGTTTTGTATATAGTTCTACTGTCTTCTAATCATGTCCTAGAATTTGTGTTGATAAAGCCACTGGTTGGCGAAACGTCTACAATAAAGATACCCAGATGTTGCACATGTGTCTAATTTTTCACCATCCACACTAACCCGTCACTGTTTCCCATCCCCAGTAAGCCATCCCTGTCTTCCATCCACACTAACCCGTCACTGTTTACCATCCACACTAACCCATCCCTGTCTCCCACCCACTCTCAATCCTCAACGACCCACTCTACACCCTCCGCCGCTGATTCTCGCCATCCTCCCAAAACCCCATCCTCCATCACCCACCCTCTAACTTACTACACGGAGGATGCCACGTAGCCAACTGGTAAGAACAGTTAACTCACAATCACAAGGTCCTGGGTTAGATTTCTTGGCAACAAACATGTGGGTCACTTTCCATACACCTCTGCTGCCCCTGCTCGCCTGGCAGTAAATGTAGATACCTGTGTGTTTGGCAATTGTAGCGGGTCGCATCCAGGGGCAAATTATGTTAGGAACTACAGTCCTGATGGAATCTCACATCCTGTATAAGAAAAATACACTGGAGTCCTGTGTAAGTCACTCCAGTACCTGCTGGACGTGTACAAGTGGCAAGAAGTATCAGTGTACCTAGTAATGTTAATTAACTAAAACATTCGCCTTCACACCTGAGCACTGAAATCACTCGACATGAAAGCGAGAAGCTTGGCAGACAGAATAGAATACTTGCAGTGAAAAGCATGGTTGCGATAAGTTCACGAAGAAAGAACTTATTAAGTTGAAGAAGATCTCTATCTTAAATTTTTAGGCTAAATCAAACGTTATTATAAGTATTAGATTTTTTTTTTATATTTTGCTTCCGAAGTGGATACTTTTAGTATATCCCATATATATCCAGTGGACGGTAGTGCAAGAACATGTAGATAAAGGACAAAAAGACACAATACCATGACTGGAACAATGCACAAATAACATGCATAAATGGTCCAAGTCGGACCGAAACGTCGTCATAAGCTTCTCTCTCCCATGTACGGGTTATTTGTGCATATGGATGCGCAGGCATAGGAACTAGGCCCCAAAAGGGTTAACTGGAGTACATCTGGATTTCTATCTATAGTTGTTTTATCTGTTGCCAGCGAATTTGGGACATTTGATTAGTTTGTAATGTTGTTTTGATTTTCTTGTGGAATATTTTAAGGTTTATCCCGTGGATTTTAAAGAGCAAGTTAGTTGAGTGAGGAAGTAGAGAGAATTATGATAGGAGAGTGCCGATGGTTCTCTCTATTCTTGTTGGTCTTCATATTTTTCTTGTGTTCTTTTCTTTTTCTTTGCTCTTTTATGCTTTTTTGTTCTTGTTTGTGTAGCTTTTCTTCTCTTTTTATTGTTTGTTACTGTTCTTTGCCTTCGTGTTTTTTGTCCTTGTTCGCGTTTTCTTACCCTTGTTCTTTCTCTTGTGTTGTTCACTTTCTTTATCCTTTTGTTGTTGTTGGTCGTCTTGTACATTTATATAAAGTTTTTGTACGGTTAAGTAGTAATTATGTGGTTGTCAAGGTCTGTGTGCCACATGTTGTCTGACAACCCTGCCAGTCTTGTCTGAGGGATTTATAACACCTGACCTCATCAGCTGCTGAAGTTGTCATCAGCTGCTGTTGTTGTCACCATCAGCTGTTGCACTTATCTGGTGCTGTAGTTGTCATAATCTGCTGCCGTTGCTATCATCATCAGCTGTTGTAGTTGTCGCCAATAGCTGTTGTTGACAGCTGCTGTAGCTGTCACCGTCAGCTGTTGTAGTTGTCATCAGCTGCTGTAGTTATCGTCATCAGATGTTGTAGTTATGTCCTTCATGTGTAGTAGTGAGTCAGTGATCACATTTCCTCTAGTGTTGTTTCTAGACCTTAGAGATTGTTTTGGATACTCTACAGGCAGACTTGTAGAATATACACAGGTAGTTTTGGATACTCTACAGGCAGACTTGTAAACACAGATAGTTTTGGATACTCTACAGGCAGACTTGTAAACACAGATAGTTTTGGATACAGTTCAGGACCACTTGCTATGACTCACCACATATAGGTGAGAGTACACAGACTGCGAAAGCTTTGGACAGGTGTGACCACGGTGTACCAGCGCACACAGTGTGTGCATCAGAAAGAATTAGATGTTTGCAGGTGTGTTTAATTTCCATACATACGACTCAGAGTAATAGTCATCAGGATTGCGACCAGAAGTAAGAGGCTGGTTTGTTAGGCCTTGATCCACCACGAGGCCTGGTTTGGGACCGGGCCGCGGGGGCGTTTACCCATAGTAAGTTTTAGATAACCTTCGTAGTAAACATCTGTGTTCCGCACGGCAAGTAATCGGCTTGATTTCTTTCTGTCACTCCTATTTCATAAACAGAGATATAACTCGTGCGACTAGCACGAGTTATATCTCTGTGTGTTAGCCACTCGGAATATTCTCCAAGTCGACTGTATCACCACCCTTGGCAGTGGATACACTGTATGATCCGTTGGAATCATACAACACATTGGGAAGGGGAAGCTTAGGGTAGGTAAGGTTCGTCAGGAAACAAGACGAGTTTCCTGAAGCACGTCTTAGATGATAACCCGCCGTTGGAGCTTTGGTCATCTGACCGAGGCCTTCCGCTGGCTTACCAGTCCACCCCTTTTTAAAAATTATGGTCATAGTTATAACCATTTAGTAATAAAATGGGAAGCAGTCATGTTTGATGAGTGGTGGTAAAGGGTAACTGGAGAGGCCTTCGCCCGCGTGAGGAGAGACTGTGTAGGAGTGGCATCCATTGAGGACAGAGTGATCCTTCAAGCTGACCTAAACCAGGTATTACTCTCACAACTGTAAGGAAGATCACGTCCTGGATAACAAATTGACCAGCTGGATAACAACGTGACAGGCTGGATAACAAGATGATAGGATGGATAACAAAATGACAAGCCGGGTAACAAAATGATAGACTGGATAACAAAATATCACACTGGATAACAAAATGACAGGCTGGATAAAGAGTGTGAAAGGATGGAGTGCGAGAGGAAAGAAGAGAAGGAACGTGAGAGGAGAAAAAGATCGTGAGTGTAGGGAGTGTGAGAGGAGGGATGGAGTGCGAGAGAAAGGATCATGAGTGTAGGGAGGGAGTGTGAGAGTGAAATTAGAGGTCACCCCTTGCGTTCCCTCGCTCATAAAAACACTGACGGAAGACATTTGGCAATAATTGTCCATAAATGTGTGATTGGCAACATAAACAAGAGGGGAGAGGGTGAGGGAATATGAAGGCAGACGTGAGGAAGGCTACAGTACTTGGAGTGAGAGTGAGGGAATAAGAGTGAAAGGAGGAGGTAGATGGTAGGAATGGGGAGGAAGTGAAAGAGAAAGGAGGACATAAGACGCCTCAACGAGGTGTACTCAACAATAATCACTGCATTCTAGCTTTATAACACTTATTCCTGAAGCAGTATATTAAAAATTAACTACCCAACTCTTTCATCCAGCACAACACATTTCTCTTCCTCCCTGAACTAAAAAATTGTTTCCTAATGTTAAATTTTAAAGTATTTAAATGAGAGTCAACTTAAGGCATCCGTCTACCCGCTATTCCTGGATCTTAATAAATAAAACTAAAATAAAATAAGTAGAGGGAGTCGCAATATAGTTTGTATCGGCCCAAAATACCAGTGAAATTAAACTATGAGAGAAATTTACCTCTGTAGAGGATACCGAGAAATTACAAGAGGATATAAACAAAGTCTTCCAGTTGCTCATGTATGGGGGGAAATGGAGGACTCAAAAAGAGACGGTATACAAAACACAGGATGGTCATACTAAATAATGAGAGGACGTGTAAAAGACTTAGGTCAACTGAGTTTTATTTTATAGAACACAATAAAACAAATTCTCTGAAGGTCAGGAAAAGTGACATGGTGGATAATGAGAACTTTCAAAGCAAGAGAAATTAAGCTTATGGTAATGTTATTCAAATAACTTGCACCAGTGTTGAAGATGAGGTAGTTGACTGATGTGTATTGTAGTGAAGATAAGATAGTTTGATGTGTATTGTAATGAAGTTAGGGTAGCTCAGTAATGTGTAGTGTAATGAATACAAGGGGCATAGAACCAATAAAGCAGTTAAACTGCTGGGAACTCCTCAAAGAACTGGTATACCTGGATGGCATATTCCTCCTCCTTTTCCCTCCCCCCGCGGCTCATTCCGTGATCAGGCCTCTATAGAAAGAATGTGAGATACACAGTAATATATAGATGGAAGATACCGGAGGGCTTATTACCAAATCTGTACATTTCCATAATACTGTATTGGAATGAGATATATAGAAGGAAGTGATGGTGTGAGGAGAGGGTAAAGAGGCAATGCTGGAGAGAGACAGAGAGAGAGGCTGCTACTGCTAAGTACAAAGCATGGAGAAGGTATGAGACATCCTACCACCTATAACAGGAACTTGCACACGCAAGCCTGTAGGCATATGGGTGACGTTCAAAAGTGGGCCATTGCTAAATGGGAGGTGGACACTAAAAGAAAGCTAGCATCAGGTACGGTAGTCTCCAAAACTTGGTGGTCCATGGTCAAGGACAGACAAGGTTATCTGCCTGATGAGCTCATTCCACCTCTAAATCGACAGGATGGGACCACCTCTACTAGTAGTCAAGAGAAGGCGGACCTCTTTGCTGAACACTTTGCTACCAAAATGAAAGTTCCTGATCCAGCAAGGGACCCTCCCTGGCTAGCTGCAAGAACTGTGTCAAAACTGTCAGCGGTGACAATAAGGCAGGAGGAGGTGCATTTCCTTCTTAAATCGCTTGACCAAGAAAAGGCTGTGGCCCAGACAAGTTGAGCCCAAGATTGTTGAGATGTGCAGACCAGCTAGCAGCACCTCTAACTCGCATCTTTCAGCACTGCCTAGTACAGTGTAAATGGCCCTCTCTATGGAAAGAGGCAAATGTAGTCCCTGTTCACAAAAAGAAGAGCAGAGCAGAAATCAGCAACTACAGACCAGTGTCATTCCTGTCACTCACTGGTAAGATCCTTGAGACAATAATCTCAAGACAAATGACAGAGTTTTTTGACTACCACTCACTACTTTGTGATCGTCAATATGGCTTCAGGAAAGGTTACTCTGCTGCTGATCTGTTGGTAAACCTCTCCACTAAGTGGCACCAGTCACTGGATGAATCCAAAGTTAGCTGTGTGGTAGCACTGGACATTGCTGGCGCTTTCGACCGGGTGTGGCATCAGGGCCTCTTAGCAAAACTTCAAGCACTGGGAATTGCAGGCTCTACGCTATGTTTCCTCAGTGATTACCTTCATGGTAGATCTCTAAGTGTAGTTCTCAATGGAACGGAATCAGCAAGACATCCTATTGGGGCAAGTGTTCCACAAGGAAGCGTGCTGGGTCCATTGTTATGGAATATCTACTTCAACGACCTTCTTCATCTCATCCCAGAATCACATGCATATGCAGACGACTGTACACTGACATTCACTTATCCAAGAGAAGAAATGCCAGCTGCTCTAAGCTACATCAATCACCAGCTGAGAGCTATATCAGCTTGGGGAAATAGATGGCAAGTAACATTTGCACCTGAGAAAACGCAAATGATGATCGTCTCTAGGCACCATGATGGTAATGCTGGTGCAGTAGTAAGGATGAATGGGAGGGTGTTGGCACCTGGAGAAGAAGTTGATATCCTTGGGGTGAAATTTGACTCCAAACTAACCATGAAGAACCATGTTGTAAATCTTGCAAACAAGGCAGCCAGGAAGCTTACAGCACTTCGCCGTATCTCGCATCTGCTTGACAGTAGGGGTTGCAAGATCCTGTACGAGGCGCAAGTACGCTCACACCTTGAGTATGCTCCACTTTCTTGGTTTGCCTGCCCCCCCTCTCATCTGCGACTGCTTGACAGAGTAGAGAACAGAGCAAGACGTCTCATCTCTCGCCTGGACCCATCCTGGATAGATCTGTCATTTCAGCAGAGCCTTCAACATAGGAGGGATGTGGGTGGCCTTACTGTTATGTACAAGGCCAATATTGTCAAAATACCACACTTGGATCCACTTCGAGGACATCGTGAAACAAGCTTTTATGCCACAAGACGGGCAGAAAGCAGCAACTTCACTCTGACTGTACCCTTCTCCAGAACATCACTCCATCTGAGATCATATATACCCAGGATGACTCGAGTATGGAACACATTCGTACAGCATAATGATGTCAACGAGATAAAGTCAGTTGATCAAATGAAAATGCTGGCCCACAGATGGCTCCAACTTCATCCTGTTCCCTACTTGTATGTCTCATAACAATAAAAATACTTTCAAATGAGCTGATGTAGGTAACAGCTCTTAGCTTCTCAATAAAGTTAGGAATCCTTAACCTGTAAATAGCTTGTCAATAAAGCTAGGGATCCTTAACCTTGTCAAACCCTGTGTAAAAAAAAAAAAAGAGGTAGTAAGTGTGAGGGATCTACGAAGGATAACAAAGTGAGTTAAGGTAAAGATAAAACTGTAACAAAGTTATCATTATTGTTATAATCAGTGAAGTAACACATCTCTATTTATAACTTTAACTATATCGTAATATGTAACCGAAGAACGGTAATAAACACCTGTGACTTTTTCATGGCTTTCAGGGAATGCAACCTGGGTCAAGAAATTACTAGGCTTCTGCTCATTCTTGTGTGTTTTACTCTGATAAGATCACTAAGGATAGAGGATAAGACGGCAAGTTTACATGCCCCTGCCAAAATAAAATTATATATCTATATAACACAAGGGCTCAGTGGAAACAAGTCAGATCCTTTGCCTTTAGTGGGATATCGTAGCAACAGTTATAATTGACAGTGTCAAACCAGAAGGGGGTCCAGATGTACAGATTAATTAATCTCCTGAGTTTGTCTCCATGTGGGTTATTACTGAGCACTGACAAGTGCTCATTACACTTAGTTATTCATAACCTATAGTAGATAAACGCAGTTCAGTTATTAGATGAATGGTATATAATACTGACAGGTTGATGAATAAGACACATGTACAACACCTGTGTGTCTTTATGAGAGAGATGAAGATGATCAGGTGTTGCAGATGGGTCTTATTCATCGTGTTTGCAATGGGGGTTTGTGATGGATATTTTCAGTGTAAAAAAAATAATGGAAGACCTAAAAAAGTATATGTGAATAATATTTTGCTGTGTGTTATCCAGTGAATGTCATTGATACTGAGATGTTTCTTTCTCTTGATGATTCTAGCGTGGGATACACCTGGGAGGATCAGTTAAGGTACGTGCAGCCTCTGTTATTTCTGTTTTGTCTGTCTGTCTCTCTCTCTCTCTCTCTCTCTCTCTCTCTCTCTCTCTCTCTCTCCTCTCTCTCTCTCTCTCTCTCTCTCTCTCTCTCTCTCTCTCTCTCTCTGAACACCCCAGCTCAATCATTAACATTATATATGCCAAGTCTGTGCTTTAAGTCCCCGAGAGAGAAAGAGAGCGAGTGAGAGTGTTTATTTATAAGCATACTTGGCATGCGAGTGTGTGTACGGCTCCAGAATTACACGAAAATGATAATTTTAACTTCTCCTTTGCACCAAATGCCAAAAATAGCAGGATTTTGTTTTTGTATATAGCAAACCTGAGGATATTATTACTCTAGCAGGAAATCAATCCAGTTTGACATATCTAAAATATTAAACGAATGGCTGAAGGTTATTTGCTTATTGTTTTATTATTGTACATAAAACTAAGTTTTCTTTGATTTAATTTCATTTGCTATCTTCAACAGTTTGGTTGTTCACGCTGTTAGCTAGGGACTTGGTCTGGAATTGACTACAGGTAGGCTTCAGATAGGAAGATGCAGGGAGATATTTGAATTCAGTGAGTTGTTCGACTCCACGTTACACCAGGAGAATACTAAGGGATAAGTCAGTTGGCAGAATGATAACTATAAAGGGAATTTTCAGTTGATCATTTGCTATCTACAAGATGGAGTTTAATAAGTTTCTCCAGTCGGGACGTGGTGGGTGCGTTGCACTGCGTGCGGCCAGCAGTAACAGCTTAGTTGATAAGACCATGCTCCACCGGAGGAGCGTTTACCCCTGGAAGCATCCTTCAGGTTTCCTTCAGCTTCAGGCAGTTCCTGATTAGTCTGGCTGTTGTGCCTACATTTCCCAGTAGCCTCTGTGAACTCGTCAAAAGTATATCATCAAAATAGCACCTTCCATCACCTAAAACAATAACTACAACAAAAATATCATAAGTGAGCAGTGGTCCACGAATTTCCTGTAGTGGGACCAGGGTGATGACAGGTGGTCTTGTGCCGTGAGGAAGATATCCTTCCTTGTCTTGTGTGGGAGGCAAGACAGTGCCACAACTTAGCAGCGCATTTTAGACCGGAACTCCTAGCCACACAGTGTTGTGTTCCGCCTTACCGGAATGACTGGCACTCATCCTACTGGCTCGCAAGTGCCGACTGTTGTTTTATTCCTAGTTCCCGTTTTCTTTTTTTTTTGTGTGTGTGTGGGCAGAGTATCTGCTGTCGCTGTAGCAACTGTTGTGAGAATTAATTTTTGAGGTTGGGGGGAGGAAGTGTAAGATTAGATTGTTTCAGTGGAAGGATTTCCTCTTTGAATGACATTCTTGCACTACGTCACCACCACTGGAAATAAGTCACTCTGACATTTTTCGGGTTATCGAAGGTTCTCTACACCTATGCTGCTATGTATGACAATCTGTGTAACTGTATTTATGTATACCTGAATAAACTTACTAATCACCACTACTTTCGTTGTCGTCACAGTCACCACCACTTGTTCTCTCTAGGCTGGAATACTGCTGTACATTAACATCTCCATTCAAAGCAGGTGAAATCGCAGATCTAGAGAGTGTACAGAGATCCTTTACTGCACGTATAAGTTCTGTCAAACACCTTAACTACTGGGAACGCTTGGAAGCACTTGACTTGTACTCGTTGGAACGCAGGAGGGAGAGATATATCATAATCTACACTTGGAAAATCTTGGAAGGAATGGTCCCAAATCTGCACACAGAAATCACTCCCTACGAAAGTAAAAGACTGGGCAGGCGATGCAAAATGCCCCCAATAAAAAGTAGGGGCGCCATTGGTACATTAAGAGAAAACACCATAAGTGTCCGGGGCCCAAAACTGTTCAACAGCCTCCCATCAAGCATTAGGGGAATTGCCAATAAACCCCTGGCTGCCTTCAAGAGAGAGCTGGACAGATACCTAAAGTCAGTGCCGGATCAGCCGGGCTGTGACTCGTACGTTGGACTGCGTGCGGTCAGCAGTAACAGCCTAGTTGATCAGGCCCTGATCCATCGGGAGGCCTGGTCATGGACCGGGCCGCGGGGGCGTTGATCCCCGGAATAACCTCCAGGTAACCACCACTCCCTTATCACCTCCCCGTCACCTCTAGTACTCTCGTCACTACTAGTACCCTCGTCACCTCTAGTACTCTCGTCACTACTAGTACCCTCGTCACCTCTTGTACTCTCGTCACTACTAGTACCCTCGTCACCTCTAGTACTCTCGTCACTACTAGTACCTCCCCATTCGTCACCCGTCCTCTGTACTCTCGTCACTACTAGTACCTCGTCACCTCTAGTACTCTCGTCACTACTAGTACCCTCGTCACCACCATCACCCGCTAAGAGGGAGCTTGACAGGTTCGTCCAGTCATTTACCACCCGGGCCGTAATTTGTAAGCTGGACTGCGTGCAGGCAGCAGAAACATCCTGGTTTATCAGGCGTTGATCCACCAGGTGGTCTGGTCATGGACAAAGCCGAGGTGACATTCACCCCCAGGAAATGTTCATGTATTCTTCATCTACCACCACTGTTACCCTAGGCACCATCAACACTACTAGCCCCTAGCCACTCCTTCCACCCATCCTTTAGTCACCACCAACTATGTAGCTGTCATATAAGAGAGGATAGCAGCACACTGCTGTTGCATCCAATTTTGCTAAATATAATTCAGCACTGCTAGACCCCCGTCAAATCCTAGTTACCATGAACACCGTTACTACTCCTAATCATCAGGAAGGTGACTAGTTGAATTCTGTCCTGAGAAGTGCAGATTTACAGACAACACCGCAGTGCCTTATTGCTTTGTTTTTGTGAGTACCAATGTAGGTAACGGGGCAGAGGTATGCGCGGGGCGTCCCATCTTTTGTTTTGCTTGTCATATGATTCTGTCAAAATCCATTAGTTGTATCACGTGTATCCCTTTCAAGGTGTGTATCTTGATGTCTCTGAAGAGCTCTTCATCCAAATTATTAGAGCTACCCTTTCCTTGAATTGAACCTGATTACCTCCCGCTCCCCCAGGAGTTAAGCATGGCCTCTACGGGTTTAGCGCTTCCCCGTGAATATAAAAATAATTAGCCTTTGTACCACTTCGTTACAAACTTTTGCATTTTTCTGATGACATCAAACTACAGTTATAATTTGTAATTTTTTAATAACGTATATTCCATTTTTTTCTAGCATTTAGCCATGCATGTATGTGAAGGTTGCGTTGAAGTTTGCCAGTGTATCATATGAATGTCTCACTGCTGCATTTATGTGGCGTTTGACTCTCTCATGCAGGCTGTACAGGTCTCCCTGGAGCCTTTCTCTGTTCTTCCTTGTTCTTATCCTTCTCATTAGTTTACATCTTCTGCAAACATGCACATGAAAGATTCAATCCCTTCTGGGAGGTCATTAACATATATTAGGAACAGTAGTGGCCCCAGTATCACTCCTTGTGGGACCGCCACACGCTACTCTTGCCCATCCTGATACATTCTTCACGGTTAGTATGTAATTACTTATTTGTAGCTGCCCGTCGTGTTCCTTCTTTATTTAGCTTGTCCCTATTACTGCCTTTCCTAGTTTATCTTATGTCTCTAACATGTGACTCAAAAAATATTTTAACGTCCTTATGGCTCGTTTGTGCCATTAGCATCTACCCGTGGCCCCTTGTCCTTGGTCCTCTTCTCTCTAAGAGCCTTTCTCTGTCTGCTCTGTCGATCCCTCTTAGCATTTTGTACATCGTAATCATGTCTTCCCTAATCCTCCTTTTAGCCAGGGTCGTCTGGTTCAACTTCTTTAGTTTCTCTTCATAGCTCATGCCCCTCAGCTCGGACCCATCTCAAGTTTATGTACGTGTTTTATCAGGTGTGTACTCATTCATGCGTGTACTCATTCATGCGTTTACTCATATTCTCATCTAAATGTGTGTACAAGGAAAGAGTCATAGCTCCAAGCTTTCTTAATTGCCATCGACTGGCTTTACAGGCTCTTGGCATGGTAAACAGTGCAGTATATTGCCCCTCCGTGGAAAGTAGGGATACAGTTAGGTATACTAAGAGTTAAAACATTAAGTATAATAAAGAATCCAAGGTTTCTCAACGCTATCCCTTCAGATATAAGGGGACTTACTAACAAGAACTATCTTCAAGACAAGACTTTACAAGTTCCCTCAGGCATTTCCAGATCAGATGCCTTGTGGTGGTTACGTTGGAATGCGTGCAACGATTACCAACAGCTTGATTGATTTGGCCTTCAATAAGGGGTTTGATCCGAGACTGGGCCACGGTTACTATGATCACTCGAAACCACCAACACGTAAAAACAGAAAGACTTCCTCGACACAGTTCGTTCCTCTTACCACATTAAAAAAAATAAAAAAAGTAGAAGTAGTTCTTAGGTTAGCATATGTCAGTGAGATTATGTGGGTGATTTGTTCTTCTGGTAATATACTTGATATAATGATATCTTTCAGAACTTTCTCTTTGTAGTTTGTAGTCTCTCTCCTCCAAGACTGTATCCCATATAGGGTCCTCTTTCCCTCGCCTGTTACATACAGCATGACTTTCCACTTATATGTGACCTATAGCTTAGTGACCTGTTCTGTAGTGACCTGTAACTCGACTCTCAACCGAAAAGACCCATATTAGATTATCAGTACAGTTCCTCTAACAGTAAATAGATACCTAGCTTTTAGCGGACTATTGTGGGTAGCATCCTAGTCTATTCAAGTCATCTTGGAGCCTCTCCCTTTCGTCTCCGGTTGCTATTTTTCTCATTAGGTTCTCATTATCAGTAAACAAGATCCGTTGGTGTTCGAGTTTCCCCGGCCGGTCATTTATATCAGAAACAGCAGGGATCCCAGCACTGATCCTTGGGGAACCCTAATTGTCACCCTTGTCCACTCTGGTACGTCCTCTCATATTATCACCTTGGTGTTTTGTTTCTCGGATATTTTTTGACCCACTGGAGAACTTT